CGCCGGCGGGTGCTGCGGGTCGCCCCTGGACATCGTCGATATGTTTTTCGGCGGCGGCGGGAGGATGCAGAGAGAGAGGCGAGGTAACTGCCCCCGTTCCGCGCTTTCCCGGGCTGTCCGGCCTCAGCGCCGTGGTAGCCGGGATCAGAGTTCCTGAGGAGGATGCCGTGGATGTAAGGCTGTAAACAGAGTTAGAATGAAGGTGCAGGGTCTCGAGATCGGAGAAAACGTTGTTCCTAGTTCCTCAGAGCTGAAACGAGCAGGGAAGGGCGTTTGGTGCACGCGGTGATAGTTTGGATTCCTCTGTATTGTCATGTTAATAGATAACCACCTTTCCTCTTTGGAAAGCCTTTAGCCCAGTGCAAGCCCAGCAGCTAGCAGGCCGAATAGGCAACTGGACAGTAACATACCTTAACATTTTTTTAACTAAGCTACCCTAAGTATAGCGTTTAAATGTTAATTTGATCTTTAATTGCAACTAACTATATCTAAATAAGGTAACCAAATAAAAATACGTCTGTGAAAGGTTTTTGTTCTTCTGTGCTGTTCACTGAAATTGCTTTGAATCTGTAGTTTAAGTGCTGCTCACAAATTAAAGTCCAGTTTAATCACACTGGGAAAGCCTCTAGTGCTAATAAAAATGGTGAAGAGAATTGATAACCACATTCCTTTTTGCTGTAGACGTGGAGATAGAGGGAAGGAAAAAGGATTTGTATCAAAGTGTTCCTAGTAAGCCAGAACTTGGTATCTTCCACAAAGTGAAGCCTGCACTTGATAAAGCTCTAATTAAGTAATTCACTTCAGTTTTCAGGAAGTCCCCTGGTGAGAGGAGAAACATACTTTGCTGACTCTAGAGAGTGTCTCCCACTTCCTCTTGGGAGATATGTTCAGTTACTCTGTTAAAACTGAAGTCCTGCGTTCTAAAACTTAGACTTCTAAGGTTCTACCTACTTCATTTCTCTTACCATTTGTGCTTTCAAACAGGTAGAGCCTCTGACTTTTTCTAATAGAGAAATGTTACTGACAAAGCCTTTAGAGTTGTTGTCTATTTTGACCTCAGATAGGAAGGGGCTGTACCAGCAAAATGAGATAAAACTGTATTGAAGCATGTTTGTTGTGACTTGGCCATAGTGACGTGGAAAGTTAACTGTTATTTGGTGAACAACCTTTTAAAATACCCATTTTGTTTTACAGGCAAAAACGTGGTGCATCAGTTGTCAGTAAGTTTAGAAGATATGTACAATGGTGCCACCAGGAAGCTCGCACTGCAGAAGAATGTTATCTGTGACAAATGTGAAGGTAATTGACTTAAACACAATTTGCTTCCTGAGCTTCTGTGGGTGGCATGTTTCTGGCAGTGTGTGACCATTTGTCTTCAATTTTCATTCTCCACAGGTCGTGGTGGCAAGAAAGGTGCAGTAGAATGCTGTCCTAACTGCAGAGGAACAGGCATGCAGATCAGAATCCACCAGATTGGGCCAGGAATGGTGCAGCAAATCCAGTCGGTGTGTATGGAGTGTCAGGGCCACGGGGAGCGTATCAGCCCCAAGGACAGGTGTAAGAGCTGCACTGGCAGGAAAATTGTCAGAGAGAAGAAGATACTAGAAGTACACATTGACAAAGGTGAGGTGTCTGACTAAGGTGGAGTGTTGAACTTGGATGTAGTGACTGATTTAGTGCTAGTAAATGAGTGGTGTTGGTTTGTTGGGCAGCACTGCTGGTATGTGCACTTGCTGCCTTTAAAGATTGGCAGACTTGTGTTGAATGGAGGCTGGTTGCTTCTATGTCATACCAGTGCTCACAGCTAGAAAGGAACTCTGAAACCTTCAGTGTTCTAAGTGGTGAATTACTTTTGAGCCACGTTGTAAGTCTTGACCAGGTAGCTGGACCAGCTGAAATGAAACTCATCACCTACTCGTTCAGCTTGCCTAAGAAGTTGTCTCTGCCTGTGGGAAGGCCTTGCAGACTTCGATCACTTCTGCTGTGGTACAGTGTGAAGGGGAACCAGGTCTGCTAGAGCAATAGGGTGCAGAGACAGTGGTAAGCCTCTCATGCTTAGACCTCTGTTTGCTATGCAACCCTGACAGTGCTGCACAGGACAGGTACTGCCTCTGCCTGGCAAAGTGCAGTTCAGTACACAGAACCCCCACTGTGGTGGGAGAAGGTGACTCTGTTGAGTAACAAATGCATCTCTGTCAAGGAGGCTGCTTAAAAGCTGGTGGGAAAAGCCTGGTGTGGTGCATCTTGTAAGATAGAGCAAGCTGATGAACACGTGGCTTCTACAGCCTTCTGCCTGGTAATCACATGCAGCTTTTGTAGGTATAAGCACACCTTATGCAATGCTTAGATTTGCTTTTAACAGTGTAGATCCTACAGTAACATTAAAATAAGTACTAGTAGGGATGTATTGCTGACATTTTGAATGGTGAAATCACTTGAGAAGAGTTTTTCCCCTTGAAAAACAGACTGAGCTAGCATGAGGCAGTTGATATTCATGGCAGAGACTTGTGTGGGTGAAACAGGTTTCTTACATGATGGTTATAGTCGTAGGGAGAGTGCTTCTTGCACTCAACAGGCACTGAGGCTATGTTTTGTAAGTAGCTCTGCCACAGACATTTATAAAACTGAAGAAAATCAATGGTCACTTGATCTCAATGTATTTTGTATGCAGTGTTTCTGTTTTGGTTTAGTACTTGTGCATGTAATGAAAGCTGCTTTAATAATGTTTCCTGTAAGAATGGTATCTAGGCAGGTGACTGTTTTGCACTAAAATTAAGCTTAATAATCTTGAAACATACTTCAGGTTGCCACGAGTAGAATGTGCTGGATATATGAGTGGATTAAAAAAAACAACAACAATTATGAATGCTTCAAGGGAAGGTACTGACTTTCTAATTTAAAGATCCAGGGATCTGGTACCAGCTTGTGTCTATAAAAATACTTCTTATTCCTGCTTTTCTCTTAAAAATGTGAAACATGTTTGGTTGGTTGTTTTCTGCAATAGGAATGAAGGATGGTCAGAAGATAACATTCCATGGTGAAGGGGACCAAGAGCCAGGACTAGAGCCTGGTGACATTATTATTGTCTTGGATCAAAAAGACCACTCTACATTTACAAGGTAAAAAACTTTACAAGTCCTTTTTGTTAACTCCTGAGACACTTGTCCACATGCTTCATTGGTTACCGCTCATCTTCTGTCTACTGGGAATACCAGTAGATAGGATCATGTGGCTAGACCTTGCCTGCAATTTTGTTTGGGTGGTCAAAGCAGCACTGAGGCATGCAGTGATCCTTGAACAACTAGTCACAGCCACTTGTGTTCTAGCAGCACAGCGTATTCTTATGTGAGCTTTGGCTGTGGAAGGGGATGGAAGGGAAACAAAACCAGTCATGGGTATTAAGAGTTTACAAATCTTGAATTTTAAGAACTCTTAAAATACTGAGAGTTTGTTTAATAGATACAAGTATTTGTGGTTACTTCTGTGCTCTTTCTAGCATGGCATTCCATCGCTTACCTCAGAAAATTATCATCTAGTGCTGGCAGCTGTTCTTTGCCCACTTTGCTTTTAGGCACAGAAAACTTCTGCTGCATTTACTTTTGCCTAGGGATCTTCTTTATGACTAACAGACTGAATATAGCATGCACCCTTCTGACCAAAAGTGGTTTCCCACACTTCATTCCTTGCCTGAGTGTACTGGGCACTATAATCAGTCCTGTCCATTCTTGCAAAAGCAAAAGTGACTCAAGAAGCACTGACCATGTCTGAAGTGTTTTGTGTTACTGAACAGTGCTGCTTGGTGTTGCAAGCCTGCTTGTATCAAGTTGCTGTTTGTGGAATGAGTCTGTCAGGTACATTTTGGTCTGACAAAAAGCAACACTGGTCATCTTGCAGAAGTGTAATACACTTGGTGTCTCACTGTGTCTGTTCTAAGCAAGTAAGAAGGGCATCAATGGATTTGGAGAAAACATTTGTCTGAACACCAAGCACTGACACTAATTGTAAATAGGAATGGCAAGTCCAAGGGTCTTGCAAGCCTTTATAGTGCTGAGCTCTGGAAGCTGGTGCCAGAACTCTTATGCCAAAGAACACTGAGCACACAGGTTAAGAGTCCAGTTATCTTTGCTTTGGATAAGCTTACTTAGCTGATTTTTCTTAGCTTCCAGTGAAACTGGATACTGATTCATCTATGCCAAGACACAGTCTGGGCTAGACGGTTTGCATGGTTATCTGGGATGTGAAGCCACAAGTTGGCTGGCTTATTTTTTCCATCTTTCTGCCCACTGCCTTCAGTTCTAGTGTCCCTAGATAAACCTTGATATTATTGGTCTTGTGGGGTTATGCTGGGGTCATGCTGCTCCAGGACGAGTGGAATGTTTCCCCTCTTCTGTCAGAGTCTAAAATTAACTTTTCAGGCAAGTCTCCTTCAAGAGACCTTTAAAATGGGGTAAGTGAAATAACTAAGTTCTTTGAATAGGCTGGAGGATTTCGTAGTCCTTGATCATGCAGACATCACTAGTACTGCACTACTAAAGTCAGAATAGGCAATTAAAACAGTTGTATTTGTTGTATACTCCTCCAGGTATACCTTTTGGTGCTTTCAAGAAGGTATTTTGATATATAATGCCCATCACCTGTTCAAACTTGCCTAGTATCAGATCTTCAGAAAGCAAGTGTTAACAGAGTAATAAGGTAGCTAATCAGCTGCAGCTAGCTAGCTGATGCTCTTAACACAGTACTAATCTACATAAAGGAAGGGGTTAATTGTCCCAGTTGCAGTGTTTAGGAAGCTGAGAGAACTTTTCCACAGAACTGGGAAGGAGTGTTGAAGTGGAACTGCATGCAGGTGAGCCAGGCTGTATTAGTTTTCTTTTCAATTGACACTTCTACACTTTGGCTAGCTAGACTTGATCAGTAATAGCTCACAGTGTGGGTATCGTTCTTGTGATTGCTGGCTTGAGGTGCTGTATCAATATGCAATATTCTTAATTATTTGGGTTTCTATTAAAATTACAGCTTTATTGCCCTTGCCAAGTTAAATACTAAAGTCAGGTATGACCCTTTTACTGTCTCTTCCTCTTGGTGACTGTTTTAATTGGCTCTGCCTTAGACGAGATGAAGACCTTCTCATGTCTATGGATATTCAGCTGGTTGAAGCACTGTGTGGTTTCCAAAAGCCCATCACAACGCTGGATAATAGAACTATTATTATTACCTCCCATCCTGGTAAGTGTTGTTTTGCTTTCTGCTGGAAGTCCAAGCACGCAGTGAATGTAACCTGGAAATGTAAAGGAACAGAAACCTCCTATCTTGGTGCACAAGGGATGTGTGCTGGTATTGAGCCTATTTTTCCTACTCTTTGCAGTACAAATCTTTTAACAGAAGGATTTTTGGATAGCAGTCAGCAGTAACTTTCTCTTCGCGTGGTATAGTAACAGACCTTACCTCATGGACATACTTGTATCCTGAGGATTTGAGAGAATTGAATTCATGAGAATTGAAGGCCATGGGTCTCTGAAAACTACTATTTCAGCCTTTGAACTGATGGATCACTTAATAAATTTGTAAGTATGCTTCCTTTGGGAAGCATAACAAGATTACAAGAATGTTATGTAGACATCAACTTGCTTTCCTACTCAAAAGTTAGCAGATAGCAAGTCCCTATTAGACTACTATATATTGGTGTAGCTGTTTAACCACAGTATAGAAAGTTACATAAGTATTGAAGGGAGTTAAGACTAAAGCTGCTTCTGTTGCCTGCATGGATACCTTCATCTTTTTGATTGTTTTATTTTGTTTTGTTAGGCCAGGTTGTCAAGCATGGTGCTATTAAGTGTGTGCTGAATGAAGGTATGCCAATTTATCGCAGACCGTATGAGAGAGGACGCCTCATCATAGAATTCAGGGTAGGTGAATCAACTTGCTTCCGTGGCACAATTCAGCACTGCATTCCCGTCCAAAATTTAACCTGTATCACCTCAATCAGGAAGAGATCCCAATTATCACATGTCCTGGTTTGGTATTTGTTTTTTATAATGGTGAGGACGTGTAATCCATCAGACAGACTTACAGTTCTAAATAAAGAAAAAAACTTATGGAACACTCTGTGCTGAAAGTTTAAGTTATCAGAAGACTTTCTTTGGGACACCTTGTGGATTTCCATTTGCTTGGCATGTTCTTTAATTTCTATCATCCTGTGGGAAGAATGGATCAGTAACTTACCCCTGGGCTGAAGCAAAGGAGTAGGTTGAAAAATGCTGATTTCTTCTTTGAGAATAAGCTAGTGCTGGGAGCTGTGGCAGCAGGCTCTGTCTGCTGCAGTTTGAAAGGAGGCTCAACCTTATCTCTGATGTTAATACAGCCTGTACTTTGCTTCTAGGGGGATTCCAGAGGGCAGTCTGAGGTGGAAGAAATGTTGGTTAAGCTGTCAGTTAGAAGTTAACTTCTTGCAGGCATTAAAAAATAGCCTAGCTACTTTAAGTCACCTGTGATGATAAAGCTGACTTGGGCAGATACTTGACCTGTAGTGGGGTGGAAAAGGGCCAATTCAGGTGGACTTGAATAACACCAGTTATTGATTTCAGGTGAACTTCCCAGAGAGTGGCTTCCTCTCCTCAGATAAGCTGTCTTTACTTGAAAAACTGCTACCCACAAGGCAGGAAATAGAAGAAACTGAGGAAATGGAGCAAGTGGATTTAGTGGACTTTGATCCATCTCAAAAAAGAAGACACCACTATAATGGAGAAGTCTTTGAAGATGATGAGCATCACCCAAGAGGTGGTGTTCAATGCCAGACATCATAAATGGGCCAGTGAATAACTTGTGATGCTTGTTTTGTATGCATTAGGGGATAAGTGAAGAACTACAAGCAGTTCACCCTCACTTCTTGCTGTTTGTTGTTCTATCCAGCCATAGTTGTTTCTAAAAGCATAAAAAAATAAACTAAGTGATTAAACTGACTTTGCAATTTGTATAAAGCTTCAGGATGCAAGCTCATGAAGCTGATTGCACTTCACCCTTGCCTCTTGGTTCAGAAAACCCCCTTACCTGCTTGTCTTTTATTCCAAACCTTGTAATTCCTTTGTGTGTGCAATTCCCAAGCTTAGACTAAGATTCTGTGGTGTTCTTTTTAGGATTTTTAGATCTTGTACTCTGTTAATAAAGTATGCACAAGTACTAATAAGTCATGGTAAGATGTAGCTAAGTTTTGTACCAGTTAGGATAACATGTTCATGTTTTGGGCTTGTACTGGTGTTTGTGAAATATGGACTGGCTCTAGTGCAGCCACCTACTGTGTGAAGCTCACAAGTGTGTGGTCAGTCTTTGTGGGCCTGTTAAGAGTTATGCAGTCCACAAGCTCTCTGAGGCTACTGCACTTAAGGTCAAATAGTTGCTTCCTCTGCCAGCTTTGGTCCTGACCCTGGAGCTAGATGTGAAGCTTGCTTTGATTCATCACCATCACTGTTTGGCTGCTGCCCTGCACCATGCTGCCTATAGAGCCAGTGGTTGCTTTGCTGCTGCAGGAGCTTCCTTTGCTGCTGCGTGAGTAAAAACCTGCAGGCTGCATCAGCACACTTGTGGTTTGGAATCTGATCCTGCTGGCATGTGAAGCTTATTTCCACCTTGATTACTGAGATCAGATACCTCTCAGTGGTGTGTCATGAAACGCAGTACCTGCCCTGTTCATGGGGATATTGTGAACCTGCAGAGGAGAAACACTGAGTACTACCAACTGATGCATCTAGGATGTTCTGAAATTAATGTATTGTGTGCATTATTTTAAACCGACTCTTGAAAAAATTCTGTATGAATGTTCTAATTATTGTAGATTAAGTATTTCCAATATAATTACAAAATTGTTCATTGCCTCTTTTCTTAGACCAGATGTTTGTTTAAATACATTACCCCCTTTTTAGACAGCTATTCGCAGAAAAATATAAGCAAAAACTTCTGCTAGAAAATATGCCAAGAAGGCAGGCCTATATTTAACCTCTAGTGTGGTAGTTTATTCTGGTTCTACCATCTGGATGGGGACAGTGTTTGCTTTTCATACTGCCCTGAAGCAGAAGTGTCCTGAAGATAACTTTTTTCCTTGGAAAGGGCTGCTATGTGAGATGGTACACATGTAACTTGAACTGTTAGTCTGTAAAATATTTCTAGCTCTTGTGTTACAGGTTTCATTTTATGAAGACAGCTGGTACCCTGTTTCTTGAACCTCAAGTGTAGTTCCCTTTCTGGTCGCTACAGAACAGCAATCTCCTGTGTGTCT